ACGTCGCGGGTAATTTCACGGACCGATATCGTCGCTAAGCAGCGTGGAGGCAATGACGTCTGAATGTCGTTGAGTAGTAGGAGGCGCGTGCTTAGAGGGCGCGCTCTGTGTTCATTGCCTCCGTGACAAAAGCTACGACTGTTGCCGTCGGGTTCGCGGACGAGGCCTCCAAAGATGTCGTCCCTCACCCCGCACATAAGGACGCGCAGATTCGTGTTGTCTGTGGCTTTTCGGTCGGCAAGCGCGCTCAGTCGCAGGCCATCTCGAACGAAGCTGGTGACGCTTTCGTTGGGGCCTTGTGTCCTCATTCGAAGGAGTTCCTTGGTGCTTTCCCATCGCTGCTGACTGACGAACGTCCGTCAGAGCTCTCCACTCACCTGGTCCTATGACGTAATCGAGGTTCCATGATTCTCAAACCAGTGTTGCGCGGAGCCCTCTATGGTAAACTAGACGTTCTGCAGGCATTGCTCAGGCGTCCACCCATTATGCCGGGCCACTCGCTCGCACTGGTTGATCTAATCCTTGATGTCTTCGTAGAGGTTGAAGTGGAAGGGCGTCGGAGTACAAGGGGCGCTGGCGTACGAGGGGCGTCGGCGTACAAGGGGCGTCGGCGTACGAGAGGCGTCGGCGTACGAGGGGGGGGACGGGCAGGTAAACGACGCGGTAGGCAACAGCTGGAGTCTTTGTTTGCAGACCCAGTGGGCTCATTGATGGTTTCGTCGACTTATTCTTCTGTAATAAGCTCACGAATCCGTTAGAAGTCCCGATTCTGGGCGAGTTGACCTTTGGTGTGGCAGCTTGTTTAGAACTCGGTAGTCTGCACGGACGGTGTTCTTGAGCCCGGGACTCGGCTTCCGCAGCGAGACCTCGGAGAGGCGTCCTTCATGAGTTTCGGTACCCTGCACCTCCACCAGAAATGTCACGAGGTAATGTGAAGGATTAATATTGAATTATGTTCCTCGCGTTTTTTTTTTCACAAAACAAGTTTATCATCAGCTGCAGTTTTTTAGTGATCAATGCAGAATATCAATGACTAAGAATAGTACTCGCTACAGATCCCAAAGAGTTTCCGAAGATAGGTTTCTGAAAGCAGGAAAACAGCGTTCTACTTTAGAAATAGCTCGTAAACTGTAGTTGAATAGATAAATGGGCTAGTTGGTACATTACTGAATGGAAAGCGCCGAATAAAAAAGGGCGAAGAAGGGGACAGAGACCAAGCGCACTCTCAACTGTAGGTTTATTAAACAAATATTGAATATTAATACAGTCTATCTAGGTGTTGGCTCAAAAACAAAAACTCTTGATCTGTTAAGTGCAGTGACTGCACACCAATACACAAAATCTCCCCTTGCTTTCTTATATGGAATGCCTCATGTATTTCTCGAACTGTTTTGTTAGCGTATCTGCCCAGAACTGTTGTTTTTTTATCAATTCCGGGCCACATGGGCAACTATCACAATGCACCGCAAGATTGCCCGACGGGGACTGTTTCACTTACCAGGCATGTTCCCTGGCCCTCTCATTTCTGCAACCCCCGTTTGGCCCACATACGATTTCCCGGAACTCACTGGTATGTTATACACCACTGACGTTACGCACTCCACGTATTGCTTAGAGTGTTTCTTTTGACACACTTTACCCTCTCCCTTTTCGTTGCTTATTTTTGAACATAGATGAGACAGCTTGTATGGCGCTGAAAAGACCACCGGTACTTCAAAATGAGCCGCCACTTTTTTAGATTGTGAGAGAGATTGTGAATGTAAGGAATCACCGCCGGTCCTGTTAGTTGTCTCGAAGGAATATGATCGTCATCTTTTTTCGTCATCTTGGAAAAAGGTTATCCGCTACTTCCCCCAAGAAGCGATCGGGGTACCCTTCGCATTTTAGACGATTCACCTGCGTGAGAAAGCTTTCATCCGCGACATGGTGGCATGATTTTGACAGCGGGGCTCTCATTAGGCACGATGCTGTTCCCCTTTTAACGAGTATGGATTGCAAAGAATTGAAGGGCAGAACCCCAGTGGATCTTTAGTGTCAAGAGCCACAAAGTAAACTGTCCGTTTAGAGCGATCGTAACGGAAAGGGATACGTGGCAAAAAGAAGTGTGTGTGTGTGTGTGTGTGTGTGAGGGGGGGGGGGGGCATCCTTAGTAGGCATATGGCCGGCATTGAATTGAGTGACCCATTCCTGGTGCGTAACTCGGAGGCTGTCATAGAATTTTTGCCGAAGGGCGAGCAGTCCTACGGCGGAGGCTTTTCTATTGACGTGGAGGACCTTTTGTATTCCGTCCCGCATGACACGCTTTTCCCAGCGGTAAAAAATGCATTAAACACAACTTTGAAATAAGCTTTAGAAATTCGAATGGAGTAAGTGTGGTGTCTTTTTTAGAGTTACTGGAATGCTACCTTAACCCAACCTTTGTGTCCTTTTGGGGTGGTGTTTACGTTCAAAAGCGAGGCATATGTATCGGCTCTCGTGTTGCGCCAGTGCTCCGCGATATGTGTTTGGCTGAATCTTGAATGTGACAAGGGAATACGTAAGGATATCGAAAGATTGGGGTAATTCACAATCTGTCGGTATGTGGATGATTTTTTGGTGCTTGCCCCGAAGTCCGTTATTGTTAGCCTAGACTTAATAAACAATGTGATGGATTGCTTTAACTTGAATTCACGTGGACTGCCGTTCACCCACGAAACAATGACCAAGGGAAGGCTGCATTTTTTTGGATTTTAGCCTCAACTTCGACGGTGACCATGTTTGTTGGAGATATGAGCCTCGAACTAACGAAAGGAGTTCTGCTCTTCAATTCTGCGCAATCCAAACTCGTTAAAAAGGGACCAGCATCGCGCCTAATGAGAGCCTCGCTTGCAAAATCATGCCACCATGTCGCGAATGAAAGCTCCCTCACGCAAGTGAATCGACGAAAACGCGAAAGGTACCCCGATGGCTTCTTGGGGGAGTAGCGGATAACCTTGTTTCCAATATGAAGAATAAAGATGGCGATAATATTCCATCCAAATAAATACCAAGACCGGCGGTGATTCCTTGCATTCACAATCTATCTCACAATCTAAAAAAAGTGGCGGCTCATTTTGAAGTACCATTGGTGCTTTCAGCGCAACACAAGCTGTCTCATCTATGTTTCAAAATAAACAACGAAAAGGGAGAGGGTAAAGTGTGTCAAAAGAAACACGCTAAGGAATGCGTGGAGTGCGCAACGTCAGTGGTATATAATATACCAATGAGTTCCGGGAAATCATATGTGGGCCAAACGGGGCGTTGCATTAATGCAGGGCCAGGGAACATGCCTGGTCAGTGAAACAGTCGCCGTCGGGCAATCTTCCGGTGCGCTCTAATAGGCGCCCATATGGCCCGGAATTGGAAAACAAAAACAGTTCTTGGCAGATACGCTAACAAAACAGCGCGAGAAATACAGGAGGCTTTCTGTATAAGAGAGCAAGGGGAGAGTCTGTGTATTAGTGCGTCCTCACTGCACTTAACAGATAGAAAGTTTTTCTTTTTGAGCCAACACCCAGATAGACGGTATTAATAGTCAATGTATGTTTCAATAAACCTTCAGTTAAGAGTGAGCTTCGTCTCTGTCCCCTTCTTTATCCTTTTTTATTCTGCGCTTTCCATTCAGTCACTCATAGACTGGCTTTGAAACGCATAGTCTGAGGTAACTAGCCGCTGCAACAAAATTTAGTGATTCCCACATTTTAGCGGAATCATCTCCTCCTGCGGCTTGCTGCATATGCTCACATTGCTTTTGGTTCACTAAATTCCGTCAAAGCGGCCGTTGCAATCGGTGCGTGTCTACAAATTTTCCCATTTACACAGGAAAGACATTATACATTGCCACGCGCGTAGTTGAGCGACAACGTGCGTGGCCGAATGATTACCCCGCTTAACTGTCGCGTGTAAGATCTGGGTTTCATTCCAGGTAGCGGAATGTTCTTTTATTTATTCTCTCTACTTGTCGTTCTCGTATGATCGAGAACTTTTTCGTCTCATCGTGTTACGAATGTTCTACTCGCCGAATGTTCTAGGCCGAATGTTCTAGAAACCCACGCCGATACAAGAGGTGCTCCGCGCGGCGAGCCGGGGTCAGTCTCGCCCAGCGTTCGATCCTGCTGTTACGCCGACTTCGACGCCCGCGACGCTCTGTTGTTATCTTCTAGTCCCTTTTCGTTTTGGGCACAAGTTCGCCCCATTAAATGTTTATTTATTTCTCTTCATTTATTGGTTTTTGTCACCACCCGTGACATTCTGGTACCAAACGTCTCAATTCCTGGTGTTTGCCTTGGGTGCGGCGACTTAATCGGGTCTTGGTAGTGTCTTCGTCGGGTCGTCATGGGCTTGCCGTCGGACTTGCTTTGCGGGCCCTCGGAGGGGTACGCTGCAGGTACATCCGGCACCCCGCACCTCCAACAGAATAACAGGGGTGGTGACCAAAATAACAATAAATAAACGGGAATTAATAAAAGCTTAATGGGGTGAACTTGGGGTGAAACATTGCGATCAAACGTTTGTCTCGTCATTCAAATTAGTTTACAAAGACATTATGGTTCTATTCTTCACCTAATAAAGTTAAAGCAAGAGTGCAGGTGAGCTGTTTAAAAACTGACATCTTAATACAGGGGAGTGGGAAGAGTGTTGTCCCGTCCTGTTTTCCTGCTCTGGTTAAAAATGTGAATACTTCACTTGATTTCTATTCTGTTTATGTTCTAAGGTTTTGGCTAATCATTGTAGTCACAGCGTACTGACAGCATCTCGTCTATGTTCTGACGCTACAATTCCAAGTAGTTCGTGCTACTAATTATAGTTAACCATGAAGAGTCAAACACTTTCATCTAATAAAACACCCTGCTAGCTCTCAGTTTTATATACCGGATCTCAATTAAATGTATCGCTCGGCTATTTTCTTTCTATAACGCATTACCTCCTACTAATTCCACGTAACCATTACCAATAAGATGTTTCTAATCCGTTTCGTTCAGAGAACTGTGGACTTGTTTCAGCAAAGCCAGACTCTGTGATAAGCGAGCGCATTTTGAACGGCACAAACGCAAGTCTTGGAGCTTGGCCATGGATGGTTGAAATTTTAGAAGATGACAGACACCGTTGCGGTGGAGCCCTGATAAGCTCTCGACATGTGTTGACAAGTGCTCACTGTCTGACGTAAGCAATTTTAGATATATTGTTCTGTAAGGTTCTCATTGAATAAATCCCGAAGCAGTCTAAAACCGTTTCTTTATATTAACAATAATCAACAGTTTTACGAAACTCAAGAAGAACAAAATGCCAGTGACACTTGAAAGTGTCACCGGCATCACTGGCCCTTGAAAGTACTGCTGTATTTTCCGAACCGTGGTGTGCACACGGCTCATAGTTCTCACCTCGTGCCCAGAAGACGACGTCAGTTGCGAGTATAAAGTATAAACAGCAAGTAAGCGATTTGTTGAGTGACGAGGCAAGCGACGGCCACCCGCTTCGCTGCCGCTCGGTCAGTCGAGCGACGAGGGAAACCGCAAGGAAGCAACGGGAGAAAGTGAACAAGGATATGAGCGACTTTTTCTAGCAACCCAGCAACCGAGCGACGCGACGAAAGACAGTTAGAGATCTTCGTCGCTCGTCGCTGACTCTCGTCGCTATCGCCGTCGCTAGTCTCGTCGATCGATAAATCTCTTACATGCGATTCAGCCCTAAACGTCGGTTGTGAGTTGAAGTCAGTAGTGAGTTAAAGGTAAGTTGTTAGTTAAACATCACTTGTGAGTTAAACGGCAGTTGTGAGTTGAAGGTCGGTTGTGAGTTAAGCTTCAATTATGAGTACAGCGCTTGTCTCTACGTCTTTTGCTTGTCCTTGTCCTTGGCGCTCTAGTGTATATTGCCGAGTACACGTAAAAAAACAGCTTTCCTAACCGCACGCCTTAAAAAATGCCGGCTTGATTAGTTCAAAAAGAAGCTTGTATCATACATAAATCATCACTAACCGGCTCCGTCATTCACAAAATCCGTCATGTCTAGTCATAGTGAACGATCTATAAAAAAATAAAAATCCGTCCTTGTACTGTACGCACCTGGAGATAGTCCGACTCCCATAAACTTTAACTTTTTGAAAGTATATATTCCGCGGACTAGTCCGGAGAGTAGGGTATCGGACATGGATCGCGTTGTTTAAAACGCGATCGTTTAAATTGGTTTCAAAAGACATTAACAAGTCGCTTTCGGGGTGAAGAAAAACAGTGTTTATTCATTTCCCCATGCTCCCCTACAACACCACCACACACTACGGAGAACGTATGCATATTGTATTAGACCAAGTCCGCGTCATCGCCTGTCCGCCATTGCTCGCTCACATATTCTGAGCGTGTATTGGACACGAAGACTGCGTCATCACTCTCAAGAAAAAAGGGTGTCAAAAGGTGTATCGTTACACCCTTTGTCCCATATAATACACCCCAAATTTTCAATTCGACATACAGCACCCTACAGGCTGCCCGAAATTTTACAATGTTGTACCACACGGTTGTACCACAACCGTGTGGTACAACATTTTAAATAGCTAAAGTACGTATCAAAGACAACATAAATAAAACACCGAGTTTTTACAGTAGGGCCAAGAAAACCCCGATTATTTTTCTTGTTGTCAGTAAAACGTAGATTAGCTATTTGAATAAGTTGTACCACACGGCTATCAAGCCCATTGTAAAATTTTGGGCCGTCTGTTTGTCTGTAGGGCGCTGTATGTCGAATTGAAGTTTTGGGGTGCATTATATGGGACAAAGGGTGTAAGAATACACCTTTTGACACCCTTTTTTCTTGAGAGTGATCGTTCGGCGAGCACTGGGATCCAATCACGCGCTTTGGTCCCAGCAATGGCTGCCGCCAAAGTTTTTTGGCAGAACTTTTGAAAAGAGGTTATTGGGGTAGGAGACGTGGGGCACGCTACTCAGTCGACACACGACGGAAGTCGATTCATTGACCCGGCGGTAGAGCATAGGGAGGTGGCCGAAGATGTGTAGGTGCGATTTCTGGTAGCGATGGGTATGTATTTGATTCATTCTTTCAGTTTCTGTACATCCTTTTGCTTCGGCAGTCATAGTAACCAAACCGGTTTTTCTGATATTTTTTGTCACGGGTATGCGTGGTCCGCGTGTAACATCAATAAGGTATGAACACCGCACGCGCCGCAGCTGCAAGATAAAACCCTCTCCTCGTCTTGGTTGCATGCGGCACCACCATATGGCTGTTCGATATGCGGCTATTTAAAGCTAATGGAAGCTTCAATTAGTGGTCGCGTGTGCGTGGTGTGGACTAACCCGTCTCAGCTCGGAGCGTGGAGCGAAAGCCTGCGCTGGAAACCTCCTGGGTTCGATCCCCGCCGCCCCCTCCCGTTTCGATCTGGATGAGTTTCGTACCGGAACGCGCTCGTGGAATCACTACTGCGTGATGCACGTTAGAACCCCCAGGCTAGCGGTCGCACTGCACTGGCTAAATTTCTCATCGACAGCTAAGAGGCAGATCACCCGTTGAGGCGTGTATCATCAAGGTTGTATGAACATACAAAGCAAGCAAATTGTTTTTTGCCCTATTTGTCACAGTGGGGGATAGCACAGAAAGGGTACGCAGCACGCATAAAAAAAAATAAGTGGAAACTTTCAAGAGGGGCGAGGAAACGTCGAATGCAAAACCGTAAAACTAAGGTAGAGAATCTCGCTGAGCGTGTTTTCACAGTCCAAGAAGCGGCAGAAAATGTCTAGCTGATAGAGGGCGCGAGAGTCGCACCAGCGGCATCAGCATAAGCAACATGGCGACGGCCTAGGAGCGTTTTTCTGAAAGGTGTATAGAGGAGGCAATGTCTGAGCGGGAAGAGCACGCCCCCAGGTGCCATAAAAACGAGACAAAATGTCTCCCTTTCTTTCTTCCTTAGTCGCGCCGTATGGACGGCTGTTGCCTGAGGTTACTCGGGCGCGCGCCAGCAGATATATATATATATATTGTTTTTTTGTTTTTCTTTTAAATTAACAGATTTGTTTAAAAAATGCCGCTAAAGTTACACTAATGCGGTTTGTGCAGGTGAGTTATACGGCCAGGCTGACATAGTCTTAGGGCCTAATCATAATAATCAGCCGGCTAATTAATTAAATATCGCTAATTATTTTTAATAATATAAAAATAGGACATATTCTTCTAATTAGAAACTTGTTCAGCGACATCGAAAATTACTAAATCAACACCTTTTAGAAGGATATAACGAAGGGGCAATATATTACGGCATTCCGTAAAAACGCTGAGTTGGGACGCGTTTCTAGGTTTCGATTTCTTATCGGAGAGCATCTCTGCGCCCGCGGTCCTGCTGCCCAGTGGCTGAGACGCGCAACACACGTGCGCTCAACTTCCCTCCATGCTACGAGGGAGGCGAGGGGGTGGCTTCGCGCCACGACCTCCGGGGGTCAGGACCGCGGGGGCAAAGATGCGCTCCGATAAGAAAGCCAAACCTAGAAACGCGCCCAAATGGAGCGTTCTTGCAGAACGCCGTCAGATGCTCCCCCAGCGTTGTATCCTTCTAACAAAAGTTGATTTAGTGGTTTTCGATGATGCTCCGCAAGTTTCTAATATAAACTATATATATTTCTAATTTTATAAATTAAAAAGTTGTTAACACATTTTAATTATTTAGTCAACTTATCGTTACAATTAACCCCCTATACTATGTCCCCCTGGCCGTATAACTCACCTGCACAAACCGCATAGGTGTAGCTTTCACGGCTTTTTATAAACAAATCTGTTAATTTAAAAAAACACCCGGTGTACCTATATATATATATATATATATATATATATAACTGAGAAGAAAAAACTCTGAGTGAAAACAGCAACACTGGACGATTTAATCTTCGACGTTTCGGCCGGAGTCCGGCCTTCGTCAGGAAGAACTTTTACAGGTGAACGCGGGTGGTATTTATACAATGCTACGGTCGAGTCCAAGTTCCAAAAACTGCGGGATGACGGTTGGAGGTTCCAAAGAAGCGTAGGAGGAGTTCCAGATGGGCAAACGTTTATACAATGTTACGGTCGGGTCCAAATTTCGGCGGGGTGACGTTTGGAGCTTTCGTGAGAGGGAAGCGAGGGCAGTTCGTATCCGGGTGAAGAAGCTTGACGGTCGGGGCCAAGTTTCAAGGACGGTGGGATGACGGTTGTAGCTTCTTGAGAGGGGGCGCAGGGTGACTTTGTGTCCGGGCGGCCAGGGGTGACCTGGACGATAGCGTACAGGAGACGAAAGACACACCAGAAAACTAAAGTGCTGCCTCAAAAAAAAAAAAAAAAAACGACACGGTCATTTTGTTTATTTTTTTTTTTTTTTTTTGCTTTGTGGCGCATGCATGAGTCAATTTAAAAGGGAAAAATGTGGGTCCGGACATTTCGTCGAACGCCGTTTCATCGAACGCCGTTTCATCGAAGCCCTTTCATCGAACGCCGTTTCATCGAAGCCGTTTCATCGAACGCCTTTTCATCGAACGCCGTTACAGCCTGTAATATTCTTGTAATTTATTTTAATCTTTATACACAACGTCATCTAATTCTCCCTTTTTTAAATCACAGGATGCAGTGACGAGATAAGTTCCATTGTGAACATGTCCTGCTTCGAGAAGAAAGCCTCCATGAAAAAATTACACCTCTATGTCACATGAAACTATTAAAAATGAGATAAAAAAAAACAGAAAGCACGATGTACTTTCTGGGAAGCGGGTAGTGTTTTCTTGTCTGACAGCGTGTACTTGTAACCTTGGGTTATGTGAGGATCCGAAAGGGTTCTGTCTTCTTGGGTGACAGAGTACACCCAGGGCTTTACTATTATCTGGTGCGGGTTGGCCTTCCTAAGAAAGCGTCCTGAAGAACATTCATAGGCAAAAGGGTCGGTGATAAAGTTGACAGTGAAAGGGAGGTGGTTCCAGTTCAGGTGTAGCCCGAAACCATGTTGGCTGACACTTTGTGCAGCTTTTGTCTCTTTGAAGTTTGAAAATTAAAAAAAAAAAAAACAGAAACGTTCAATCTGAGCATACGGCTGATAATCAGAGTATCGTTATATTTTATTTTGTGTGCTCTCCTGGCAGAGTATCGTTATGTTATAAGCGTGCTGCATTGGCAGTTAAATGCCTTTTGTAAATAAGCCTTCAACTAAGCGTAAGTGTGCAAACGAGCTGGTGTGAATTTCACATTACTGAAACCCCCAGATAGCCGGTAAAAAAAAACGACACAGATTCAAAAGCGTTTTAAGTGTCGGTCCTTTACCTCCAGTGTCATGTTTTTTATCATGTATATGAGTAAAACTTCTGGTTTTTATTTCTAGTATGGTTTCAGATGGTTTTTATTTCTAGTAATTTGGCTCCACCCTAAAAACAGTTTCACAAGTGACTACCTTAGTCTTAACAAATGTAAGGTAAAACATCTATAAAGCACTGTTATGCCCCGAAACTCGATACAGAGAAATTCGATGAAACGGCCCTTAGCGATTCGATGAAACCGCGTTGGATGAAATGGCATTCGATGAAATGTCCATTCATTCGATGAAACGGCGTTCGATGAAACGGCGTTCGATGAAATGTCCGCTACCCGGAACAATGTTAAACCTAGAAATAAAAAGAAAGGGAATGAATATCAAACCTGGAAATAAAAGAGAAAAGTTGATGGTCCAGTTCCGGCCACAAACGCAGTACCACTGCTAACAATAAGGTCTGGGACCCGAAAATATGTCCCCTGATCGCTGTTGCTATTCGTCTGTTAGCATTTTAATCGATGCCAGAGTACCGGGGCTTTCACTTATTCTTTGTTTAATAGCGTTGAATCGGTAAATTAGGTAGGATTCACGCTGTTCACGTTCGCGATTTGATTTAAATCCAGATTTAGGAGCGTCACTGACAATTTATCAAACGAGAGTTCTGGGGTAGCGAGATGTTTGGATCGAGGCAGTGTCGGAAGATTTATGGCGTAAGATTTATGATTATTAAAGCGCAGTCTAAATGCCGTTCTAGTCTGCCCTATGTACTGCATTTTGCATACTGTACACTCAAATAAGTACACGACATTCGACGAGGCACATGTTAGGTGCCCTTTAATTTTTATCGAGAATTACTAGTGCGTGCTGCTGGCCGTGTTTGTTTGCTGCATCTGTTTACAGATCAGACATCCTGGGTGCATGCAAGGCCTACATTCGTTAGGTGGTGGCGATGAGTTAATCCGAGAGTTTACTAGCGCAGTGGTTCTCAAATGGGGGTCCACGGACCCTTTGGGATCCGCGAAGTCCTGCCTCATCAGTCAAGCCCGGCAAAAAAGAAGTCGTTTTTTTACCAGGTCGAGAACAAATGTTTCAGTTTGGGGCGAGTTTTCTCGTGTGTATGTCAATAAGAAAGGAATACTTTACACAAGCCCCCAGTTAAATGCTATTAAATCATTATAATATTTAGCCTATACCTTTCGCCTCCCCTCACCACGAACGGGGTCCTCCATCGTCTCCGCCGATCCACAAGGGGTCCGCGAAACATCGACAGTTGAGAACCACTGTACTAGCGTGCCTTTGAGGTTACGCGATCATGTGTGGACTACCCCAGGGGCGGATGGAAACGCGCGTTTAAGGCGCTCGCTTTGTATATATATATACAATATACAATAAAATATATATATATATATATATATATAAAGTAAGGTAAAAATAAAACAATGGACCGGGAAAAATTAATAAGTCAAAGATGCGTGCTGTCGGAGTTCCTAATACGAAGTTTATTACGACATTTCGAGCGGGGACCGCTGTTCATCATATATAAAAAAATAGAAACGAAATATAGGCTGTCCGAAATTTAAAACAAAGAACTCTTTGAAGTAACGAACTACCGTCCTTAGCGGACGTCAAGAGTTGCAAAAACGTACTAATCGGCAAGATAATGAACTAAAATTTATTCATTATTGTTTTACTTAGTGAAAACAAACACGTGGTTCAACTGAGGAACTTTCCAAGCATCATCCGAAACCACTAAAACAACTATTTTTAGAAATATATGCAGCAGCTGCAGGGAGAGCATTTTACGGCGCTCTGAAGAACCGCTCAGTTTGAACGCGTAATCGGAGCGCATCTTTGCACCTGCGGTCCTCCTCCCCAGTGGCTGAGACGAGCAACACATGTGCGCCCTAGACGCTGACGTCATATGAAACGCGTAAGTCTTCGGCGGAGTACAATGTAGTCTTTTCCAAACTTTTGTACTGATCAGCTTTCTTTAGTCAATAAATTGAATCAGGAGGACGCACTGGGTCTCAGGTGGTGTTCATATGACGTTCCTTCAAAGTAGAGAGTAAGCACAGAAATAGTAATGTTATGTATAATCAAATTACAGCCAAACACCCAAGAGATTCTTCAGAGTTTTGCTCGGGAGCTATTCCAGGCAGCAAGCAGAGAAAGAAGGACTGAAGGAAGGAATTCAAACCATCTGCATGTACTCTCAATTTGTAAAGGGCAAATTTGAGGCAAGTGACCGCATGAACGCTCTCATGAAAGTTGTTACCTTACCAAAATGTTGTGAATAAAATTTAATAGTAATCACACTTACTTAAATTAACTACTTAATTACTAATTGTTATAAAAACAAAACAAATTTTAAAAAATAACTATCGATATGACCTGCTCTTGCAGCACACACTATATATTTGTCTAAATCTCACTTTATTTCTCGTCAACGCTACATGCGTTAAGTACTTTCGGGAACGTCAATGCGGTGATTGCACATATTTGGATGATATGCTTTTGCGATGTTACCGCTAAAGGGAAGACTAAAAATTACAGTTATCTAACAGCTCAGAAAATGTTCAAAAGGCTAGAACACAAAAATTTTAACGTGTATGGACATTCGAATGCTTCATTTCGAGAACAATGCTTAAGCGAGTTCGGCGGGTCAAATGATAAAACCTCTCATATCCTTGCTTCAGCGGGCGACGTTGCCAGTTTTATGGGCGATCTGCATTAACCAGGTGGCACTGTAAGTCTTTATTCGAAGTAGCACCTCCCGCCGAAATGTTCACGTCCATCGGGTGGTAGGGAATTAACCGCCCCACGGCGACACCGGTATCTTGAAGCTTTTCGCGTGCCTGGATTTGAGAGCGCTTGAAACTGGTGAATGAGTATTACGTGATTTGTATTATGGGTTAAATTTAACTGTACAATTAATGTGGAAGGAGTTAACGAAATCGTTGGTCGACTGCAGGCAATTCCGCCTTTCCGCCCGCGATCTTGCTCTTGACGTGAAAACGCCGACGTGCAGCCAACCCGCACAAGAATTGGCCGCCACTAAACTGAAAGCGCTCTGCATGCTTCAAGTTCTTCCCTCTCTCAAATCTAGGTTTTCTGGAAGATCTTCTGGAAGCATAGAGAGGAATTTCCGTTGGTTTTACGGCAGCTTTAGGTCTATGTTTCGAGATTCGTATGCCCTATTGAGGCAGTTACTAAAATCAGCTAACGATGCACAGGTTCTATAGGCTGGTTTCCGAACTTGCGTTTGACTGCAACTAAGTGTGTTAAACAACATTGTGCACCCAATTGTGCTCGCTTATGACGAAAGAACTCACTGACCAGTGACGTCATCAATCGGGGAACCCTGGATCGTCTAAATTGTTTGCACATTCCCTTTACTTGTAAATCTTTTTTCAACCTGAGCTTACCATACGTTTAACAATGTTGTGAAGGACAATTTCTTGTATATGGAGCAAACAATTAATATCGCAAATATTGCAAAACCTTCACACTAGTTAAATACAGTTTCAGTCCTATCTCATAGATGGCGCCTGAGTACCAGGCAGCGTGTTATCTTGTCACAAGAGAGCGCAAGTCTGCACAACGCCCATGGCTGCAGAAAAACGCAAGGGTGTGGATCGACCTTGCGTAGACCACCACGCCTTTATCACCAAAGTTCTACTGCGTCTGTTACCCTTTGAGAATATCGCCCCTTCCAATGAAAGCCAGGAGCCTTCCGGTGTAATAAAAAGCTAATATTACTATCTAATTCGTTGTGCAAATATTATGAAAACCTTTTTTGACAAATGCTTCGCAAAAAACAAACAATTGAAACTTATTTAATTATGTGAGTTGAGAACTTGTTAGAATAATAACCCAGCCATTAATCCATTCCTCCACGAATCAACAATAACGATCAAACAATTATTTTGTCAAAAAGGGTTTAGAAAAGAGTTTGGCAACAATCCTCTAGGGTTGCCAAACTCAACATCAACAACTTATTTGCTGGCGAGAATCCGTGTCGTCCGGAACGAATGGTGTTTAGCGCACCACGGCTTGTTGCCGAATGTAAATAATTTATTTTGTTTTCGCAGCTTGCAAAGTGAGAGACAATTTGAAGTACAGCTGAAAGTAATATCATTTGTGTACGTTGAGAAATGCATTGCCTTCACGTGGAAAAATCTACTTAGTACAATGTGCAATGATTGTTTTAATATTTTCTGTAAAACTTTGTTTCCTACATTACACTACTCAATTGCTCAAATAGTGCTTGGTAGCTGTCAAATTTACGCCACTAAAGAGTATGTACGTGTTTTGTTTTTGTTTTATCCTCTGCTTGTGCATCATCTCGTGGAATTTGAATCAATAGAGCAAAAAATAATAACTAAAATTATGCTTCTTTAGTAAACCGCATAGGGTTCTTTCATCCCTAGGGCTATAAATTCTTGAAAACATTCAAAATATTGAAGTTTTATCCGCCTCTAGAATAGCCCAGTTAAAACTTTTATTATTCTGAATGTCGCCAATTTGTTCATGCACAGGGCTCGAAAACAAGATTTAATTTTTATGTATTTGCAATATACTAATCTGAAAGTATAAAATATTGTTCTCATTATATTTAGAATTATATCAAACCACTTGTACCTTTTTTTTTAGACTGACATTGCCATCATAACACTGAGAAGACCTGTGGATCGCTCAGAAACCATTAAAGCAGTTTGTCTGCCCGACAACAGTGACAATCCAGATTGTGACGTTCCCATGTATGTTGCTGGATGGGGATACACTGAACGTAAGAGCAACTAATAAAGTTGTCATTCAAAACACCTAAGGCTGATATTATAAAAAAGATGACTATTTTAGAGGTTTCTGTCTGTCCACATTGTAACGTTCCGAAAGAACGCCCACTCAAAATGAAGAATTTAATGCTGAAAAACATGGGGTGGGCTATCTTTGGGGATGCCACAGCAAAACTTTATAAATAATTAATGTTAAAGACCCTGGCACCGGCAACAAACCACGTGACGCGGGAACTGATACCGCAGATCGCGGACACGGGAAATTCGCGTTTCATGGTGCGAAGGACTCGCATCTCACGGAAACAGATACCGCAAATGGCGGACGCAGCAGGTACAATTCTTATGGCGCAACAAACTCGCGGTAACCCTCTACAACTTTGCCTGTCACATTTTTCAGACCTGCCGGTAGAGCAAATTCCGCGGTTGGTGCGATTCCTCTCGGATATCGCGTGACATCCGACAGGAATCGGGGGGTGGGCGATGTTTCGGAACCTTTATGTTACAAATAATTAGCCAGAAAAACGGGAGGCCCACTCGGGGGCGTGAGTTCTCTTGGAACTTTACGGTAGTTTTAGTTAGCGGAAAGGAATCACAAAGAGTTGTTGCCACCTCTGGTATTTCCTGGCGTTGCCGTTTTCCTCTTGAAAAACCAAAACGTTCCTTTCTGGGACCCCTCTAGTTTTTAATCCTTATTAATGAACTCCCAAATGACGTATTTTCCATCTTCCGGTTGTACATTGATGACTGTATGGTTTACCGAAATATTCACATTTATTCAGAATACACCATTACACAACGTGACCATAATCGTATTCTCAGCTGGAGTAATAACAGGAAAATGGCGGTGGGCGTTTCGACGTGCTACCATGTGCAGTTTACGAGATAACACTTTCCATTCCTTTTCCCTTAATCTATAAATATTTAACTTGTAGCGTTAGGTGAACAAATGTAGTCTTTTGGCGTATATTCCACCGAAAATATTTCTGGAGGAACATTCCTAGGATTTACAAAGTGCACAAAAAACCTTCACGACTTTTTATTTAACATACTGCTAATACGAGAGCATGACTACATTTCAGTCAGGCCAGGGTATTCCTGTCAAAACTGCCTTTGGTTAATACTGTTGTATGACATACACTCAAACAAAACAAAAATCGAAAAGAGTAGGTTTGGTACTATACTCCATCTCATCCTGCAATGAACTAGGGCCCGAACGCCAAGGGCCCGAGCACTAGCTCAGGAAAGCGCGCATCCGAATTTCAAAAGAGTGCGTGAGAGAACTTTCGATACGCAGAGTACGAAGAGCACTAATTTCTCGCAAATGGTTCTCTGTTTTGAACGGGCGCTATTTTATATTGGTGAAGGAAAGGTACACGGTATTCAGTCTCATAAACATTCATGCCATATTTCGTAAACATGACAACTGTTTGGAGAAGCTGGAGGGCGCAAGTCGTTTAGCCAATCCAATCCAATCTTTGTGAACGCACCTGGACCTGTATCCCCCGTCCACACGTAGTCCGTACATACGCTCCCTCGTGGAACGCACGATCTGACTCATCTTCATTTATTAATCGCCACTGGTTCTTATCCCGGGTTCTCTTCGTCACATCGCATACAGATGATATTTAGTCCCTTCAGTAGTCTTCAGTAGTAGCAAGCGTACGCAGCCAGCAAATGGCTTTATCGGGTTCCTTATTGAACCCAGCGGCTTGTAGCACTGGTCCATCGCACGATGAGACGGAGTATAGTCATACAGTAACTCGCAAATGTTCGATCAAGATAGTGAAGTTAAAAATGTAAATGTTGTACGTAATTGATGCTTCATATAACCATTCTGTGCAACAATACTTCAAGAATGAAATCGGATACACACTAGCATAGCGTCAATGATTTGGAATATTTTGTTAGCTTTCCGGTGATAATCCCTTGGGGTGCTGCAGTATACCCCTGTAAAAAGAGATTAGGTTATACCTAACTAACAGTTAGAGTTGGTTTATTACACGAAATTACGACACTGCTTTTTATGTGTAGTATAACAGCGGATTGAACTTTTAGGGTGTTACTAAAAGCGCTTTCCCAGTACAGTGTTACGCTTCCACCAAGAGCCTATCAAACTATAATTTTAAAGCAGACATAAAATCTGCACTTAAACTATTGTATTGCTTTGAAGGGACTCTTTAAAACATTAGAAATTAAATGTGCGGTTGAGCAGCACCTATATTAATTTTCCTACGGTTTCGAAATTAGCGGTTCAACGTAAAACAAAATTACAATTTAATACTCGCTCCTAAGAAAATGTTTGAAATGTTACATAAACCATTAACACTTTCTTTTCTTTTTGTTTTCTTGCAATATTTTTTAAACGTGTTTTCTTGTCATCACATAAGCTTACTTGCTGTTCTGTTTGAGAAAGACGGTTCGGAGCTGCAAAGTTCGTAAGAAACTACCTCATGAAAGCACTTTTTTTAGGAATTATACCATATACCAGATATTTATATAGTAAATATGAACGCGTCCGGCGTCACCTACAGTGATTAGAGCGTGGAAAAACGAAATCAAAGATTTTGGCAGCAAATAAAATTTAAGGTTGCTAAATTCCTGTCAAAGTAATTTATGGTTCACTTAATCATATAAGCAGAGTAAATAAAAATACGGTATTTTTTCAGAAAGCCCAAGGCAGTTGTTTTGGGATAATGATTTCAGCATACGCGTAAATCGCGTAGAATTCATCCCCTTTATAAAAAAAGTAAAAAAGCAAACAAAATGTAATTTAGGTGTTCTTTGCTAACTGGTAAATTCGGCATGGCATTATGAAGCGCAGTGGTGATGTGAACGCATTAAATTCGTAACAAAAGTGAGCTCTCGCTTGGCGGTCTCCCTGACTTTTCTTCGTGTAACTCAATACTGGCCAACGCCTCGATGCAAGACCCAAATCTGTAAAAACTGTTCTAAAAATTGTCCGCATTGGTTTACAGAACGTCTAAATACATTGTGGTTATACTCTGTATTCTGGAGTCCTCACCGTGTGTATCAAACCTCCAGACAGCAATTGTGATGTATGGTGCCAAACAACAATAAAATCGCCTTCGCTCCGCATAAGTCCCCGGCACACTGATTTTCCAATGCTTTGATGGATTCTAATAACAATATAGTTTCTAATTATACGTGCATATTATCTGGGACTCCACTCGCAACAATTTGTTGTAATCATTTAACGATGTTGATGCACTCTTAAATATTAGCACCTACAGAGTCCAGCTACATTATTCAATATCTCTTTTTTTTCTACTCATTTTTGCAGCGGTCATGTCGAATAATCAGTCTTTGTCTGAAGATGTGGACGAGTTTGATGCCAAAGAAGATTTGATGACAGTAAACTCCGGCTCCGAGGAAAAACCCCAAGAAGTAACTGAAGGTGGGGTATACCGATGCACTCAGATGTGCTTAAAGGGGCGCTAACGGGTCAAAATAATATTTTCTTTATTATCCGAAACGGTAGAAAAGGATGCCTGGACATGATCCTCAAACTTCGAAACTTGGGAACTCAGTATTTGTGAAATAAAAAAAAAAAATTCCCAAAGCCGAATTTGAGCTTCCCACGGGATCCGCGCTAGTGCAGTAATGTCAAAGATTGAATTGTCCTGCAACTCAAGTTTCTTTCACACCTCCAAACCATCCCGTCCCGAAGTGTCGTGTTCGCCCGCGTTCCGCGATCAAACTCTCCTCTTCGTGCCCGCCGCCTGCTGCTGTAAGCAGACGACGCTTCACTTTCGAGTTTGAAGTTATCTTAGGTTCCTTTCAGCGATTTCAATTTCTTTGAAACGGTGCGAGGTCGAAGAGGACGCGCAGTGGACTTTGTCAGCGACGTGAGGGGCCACGTTGCGCCGGTTCTGCGTGAAAGGCTGCCCCGGCGGAGTTACCACCGAAACTACTGTAAAACAGATACCGAACGCAGTTGTTGTGGCCGCTTGACGATTTCCTTTTCGAAGTCTGAGAGGTCATCGGGCATTTAAAAAAGAGAACTTCGCCCGATTCCCCGACTCACCGATCATTCTCACTGCCATATATGCCGTGCGCCGCCAGCACCGCCATGCTTACCGAGGGATGATAAAAAGAAAGCAGGCGACGTTACTTCATACTTTGATTTTTGGTATTTCCAAAACAAAAGCCGGAGTGCGTTCGCAATTGCGTTAAAAAAAAACACATCTCGTACGATTGTGCTTATTAAATATTTAAGAAATGTCGCTTACAAATCTTCTGAAATTCATATTGTTGGCGCCACAAATAAAAAAAATACGAGGAAGTGAAACGAGGGAGAGAAGGGCGCCAAAAAAAAAAGGCGCGCTCGCTTGTAGGAAATTTCCCTTTTTCGCGTTGTGGTATTTTTTTTTCGTTTCTAGGACTACAACTTGCATCGTTTCAACAACGAAAATACGACCTTTGGGGTGTCAGTGCCCCTTTAAGAATGTTGCTGCGGTATTGGCTTGCTATAAAAGCGTCTAACAGCTTAGGTTCACGTATCCATTTGGTTCAATGCTTCTGGAGCAGAAATGCTCCAAATGTCTAGTACAAGGATAATTTTACCTTCACTAGGTATTCCTCTCACCCTATATGGGCATTCTAGTGTCCTTCAGAGCCTGATTCCGTGATCCCCTCCATGCTAAAAAAAATAACTGTAGATATAGGGATACACTACCTGTAGCCACAAATACTTACAGTATAGCTCACTAGAACAAACTTAATTTGAAAACTCAAAATCAGGGTTCTAATGGTGAAACTCGCCTTAAACGCGTTGCGAAAGGTGTTCTTGCGTTCCAGCTCTCATGATCTGACCATTTAATTTACAGGGGTTTAAACTCAGGTTACCTAATTTTAGCGACGTTCGAGAAGTATATTCTTATTTATAACTAACGAGATTCCTTTTGATAATAATGTAATTACTGCAAAGGTGCAAGCGAGTTGAACAAGAATAACGCTAATAATCCCTGCGAAGGGGAAACTAGGAAAAACACAAATCTCTAAAAACAGCTAGGTGCCTCTTGCGCTACTTCAAAAATCCTTCTCGTCCTGATATCGAACCATGGACGTCTCTATTTCCAGTGGAGCGCTCTACCAACCATGACCAGGCGGATTTTCCAGTCGCGTACAGGTCACTGAGCTCTGTTGAAAATTTGTGCTTGTCCTTTGTACTACTTGCTTCCCTTCTCCAGGGAATTAATATCTTTAAGATTCCTTCATACCACAGACGTTAAGCAATTTTACCTGGAGAGAAAATACAGATATACTAAAATCAATCCCGCAGTAACAGACGTTCTTGCGTTCTTTAATTTTTTTCTTAAAGTCCTACACAAATCGTGAAGACCAATCTCGCAATATAAAGCCCATATAGAAAAACTTTAATGGTTCCCAAACTCAGTTCGAGTTACGAAAAAATGTTTCATGGTCAGCTTAATCCCTCGGCCTCCATCTGATTTTATATTTCAGACACAGCAGAGTATTCTTACGAGTATTATTATGATGCGACACCAATGTACCCGGCCAACACCATTCCTGATATGCTCCAAGAAGCCCGGGTTCAGTTAATCCCAAATGAGGAATGCGAAGGGATGTACAACGACTCGTCACTTCATGGAAACATCGTTTGCGCTATGCACGACTTTGGATCTATATGCTGGCTGAGGATAACCATTTCTTAGTAAGATATGCACCATTAAGTTAATATAAGGCAAGTCTTAAGAACTAAATATACCGATCGTCTTTTCGAAGGCATTTAAAAACATCTGCAATCAATATAAATATCTTACGTAGGTGTTCGCATGCGTTCAACGGCCCTAAAAACATCTAGCAGCCCAAGAAAGACGGGGTGCAGCCAGCCAAGGTAATATTATTACTGAAAAAACTCAGAATGCAACATTTTCTAGCGTCAGCAATCAAGAACGCTGTCGATTGTGCTCACTGACAGAATGAGAATGATAGGGAGCGTCGTCAGAACGCCCATTCACCGGCAAACTCTCAGCACCTTCAACTGTGCTTTGGCAGCGCACGCGCCCTTGAGGTGCACGAGACGTCAAAGCGTCCTCTAATGTCGGAAGCTCGCGCTGGGGGCGGAACAGCTGAAGCTCCTCCCCGCAGTCATTCTGCACATTCATCCCTACAACCACTACTTTCCTCGATATATTTCTTTCTTGGACCGGAAGTCACGTGACTTGTTTGGATTTTCGTCGTTGTGTTATTTTTTCTCTTATTTCTTTCGTCATAATAGACTGCCTCCGTGACTATCATCTAGGCATACGAACAATCTCCGAATATTCAGCATTCTGCCTATACTTCGTTCACCTCTAAGCTGGCAGTGCGATGGAAGCTACGCGCTCGCCGGGTCAATCAACCGCCTCCCTCTCACCAACTGACTCCGCTTTCGTGGCGTTAGGATGGGCGGGCGCGCCATCGTGTGGAGAAAAATAGACGTATAACTGGTCAAGCAAGCACGTAGATTCCACTACACTGCCCGTTTAGAAATCAACTTGGTATAGAAACAAGTTCCGACAAAGAGGAGTCCAAGTGTACTCAAGCTTTCTTTATGACCCCCAGTGTAGCTCTTCCATGCAGTGCTCTTTGTGGTGAGCACGAAATTTTGATTGGTAATTTTAGAACTGATTGTTAGAACTTTTAAAGATTCAAGAGTGTCGAAATTAGAAGTGTTAGTCAAACAAGACAGACAACAATAAGCATATCCGTCAGCCTTTTGGTGTTTATACTGGTTCGCCTATACTTCTTTCAGTAATATTGGGAATTATAAATGAAGCCCATGTTACCACTCAAATATTCGTTAATGTCGTTAATGTAAATTTTGAGTTACAACTCAAATTAAGCGTGTGTCGCCGCGCAGACACGGTGCATTCCAAGTACCTTTCAATGAGAGTACATTGATTAGTAAATACAAGCCACAGGTTTCTTCGACACAAAAATGGAGGGCGTCAAACTAGCGCAATGGCTGGCCGACATGGCGCTATCTCTTAAGCGTGAACGAACGTAAATTAGCTTTTTCGTGCATTCCCGTTATTTAACTCTTCAATTTTTTCTGTTCGCCTTTCATTTCTTAAATAGGGCGACAGTGGAGGGCCGTTGGTGTACAAGACAAAGGATGACCGCTGGACCTTGATGGGACTAGTAACCGCTACCGAGATGCCATGCAACGTCACCCATCTCCCAATGTACTTCGTTAGAATTAGCCCCTTCATGGACGACTTCATCCTTCCGTGCGTTCATGATCCTAGTAATTGCACATGCAAGCCAGCAATCAATACAGAATTCGGCGTTTATAATTAGTGTGCTTTTATGAAAATCTAAAAACCGGTCATATGTGTATGTTATTAAAACAATTACTGAGATCATCTGTGCAGCCTTCGGGCGAAATCATTTGTTTAAAGTGTTTAAGGTGTTTAAAGTTTTACAAAAAATAAAAAAAAATATGTATCTGCTTTTTTGCAACTAGTTACCGAGTGTGTCCGCGTTAAGACCACATATTAAGCAGACGCTCAATATACCAAATTCCTTAGAATAGCAACAGCAGAAACATGCTTCTTCTGCATGAGGTTCAAAGCGGCAAAGGTAGCTAATGCCGGACGTGCGGCAACACTGATAGTGATGATGGTCGACCACGACGACGACGGAGTGGTGTGGAGTGCTGATTTCGCTGGTGTCTAATAAGGCGGCTGCTGTCATGCTGTTCCTGACTTCCTGCGACTTGGTAGCCCTCTGGCTCCTGCTAAACTCCTGACCGTCCCGAAACCTGGCCGGGACGGCGAGGGGTTAAGAATGTTCCTGAGACAATAATCCAGAGGCTTTTAAACTGGCCATGCGAAGCGCGATGTGTTCAAAAGTTATACTTTTCGCGTAATTTCACCGAACAATGATATGATACCGAAAGTCAACAATTTAATTAATCAGTTACAGGTTATTAATTCGCAACAAGAATGGGTTGCTTTTGGTAAATCTCTTCCCATTTTCCTTCACTTCTAAAGCCGCAGTTCGCTGCCGTGGTTGTTGCGCACATGTGCAAGTTACAGAAAGATTGGCAGTTTCTTCGCAGAACTGAGTAATTTCATATCCCGTAAAATGGTATTTGTGGACGCACTGGACCAACATTTAGGGTGGCGATGCGTGCTAGTTGGTTCATGCTTAGTAGATTCGACACAGGGCATAACAAATGCAGACAAAGTAGAAGGTGAGCACAGGACAAGCATTTGTACTCGAGTGAAGTTGTTATTGAAAATTAACACCGAAGTAAACAACAGCATTCACTACCAGCATGGCCAATTCAGCACGTTTCCGGATATCATGTCTCTTCGCGATGTAGAAGGACCGATGTTTGGCCTACACGCTGCCCAGACCATTTCTTGATTGTGTAGGCCTCTAAACGTTCGCTAGCCGTCTGATCTCCCCCCCCCCCCCCCTCCACACTTCCAGCAATCGTGACGTGGTGGAAGTCGGGCTGCCGTCCACGATTTGCGCAATGAAGCGCCAAGTGCCCCCCAGCTATCGACCGTAGAGACCAAGCATGCTCACCCAATATTTCATTTATACATCGGCCCGTTTGGCCGACTAATACCTCGCCGCACGTCAGCGGAATCCTTCCTATACACGACGCCCATCGTACATTCCACATATTTGTTCCTATATTTGACTGAGCAAATGCGCTTGGACACAATTTTGTTGGCAACCCTTGGACACAATTCCGCGAGTTTGTTAGGTGCAGAAAACACCATAAGCGTGTCGTATCTCTGGGCCACTCTTAGATTGTGGGATATTTGATGAAGGTATCGAATGAATATCTCTCTCTTATTTGGCCTATCTTTTTTGCACTGTAGCCCTCCCCTCACTTTATTAAGTAGCGACTCCGGAACACGTACAAACAACGATGTGGGGAAGCCAGCCGCAACCAGTTGCTCCAGCTGCCGGCCAAAACTGGCATGCATCGCATGGTGGCATGATTTCTCCAAAACCGCATGTAGCGAGATGAAGCAATACCTATTTTTATGAGTTTAGAATGAGAAGAGACGAAAGGAAGGAGAGCCTTCTTCGATCTTAGGTTTTACCACCAGCAGACATGACTACGTGGGCGCCATTTATCCCCGTCCGAGTGAAGCGCTCTGTGCGCCGAACATAGTGTGGTTGCCGCGTCTGGCAGAGAGTCATCACCTAAATCTATCTTACACCGTGCGTCCTGGTCACTTTTTTTTTCTGGTTGCTTAAAAGAGTAAGGAGTCGTAAAACCTCAATTATACAATATATTTGAGTACTTCTCAAAAACCGCTGCTAAAAATCCCCGACATATTTCGAAAGGCTACCACACCAAACTTGTCAATACACTGAGTTGTATGTAGACTATCAAAATAAATCGGGGATTTCTAGAAGTGGCTTTTTAGATATTCTCAGTTAGTTATCTTTGGAAACTTTTGTTCACTATGATGGCAAGCATTACTCGCAACAAGAGGGCATATGTATCGAGTAGTGCATCGCGCCAATCCTCAGCGATATATTTTAGCACAACTTGATAGCATTCTTAGCAGCCGGTTTCAAGGGTCCAAAGTAAAGGAAGTTTTAGATACGTGGATGATTTCATAGTTTTTACTGCTTCCAATACCAACGCTTTTGAAGCAGAGACTGTGAAAACCATGACCACTTTTAAGTAATGCCCCTGCACGCTCGACGCCACGCATGAAAGGCCCGTAGACAACACTATACGTTTTCTTTACGTTCGGTTTTTATTTCTCAACGGTCACATCCGCATGCGCATAAGCCGCTGCTTCCTCTTCATTCAGACAACTCCAAGCTGATCAAAATACGTATTATAAGCCTCTGTCTTAACAATGCATTCAAACATTTCACTGAGCCTTTGACCTTTGCTGGTTTTGAGCAGCACGCAATGCGGTTGACAGCAGCTGGGCACTCCAAACACATCCTTGTTATGATTGCTGCAGGCCTTCTAGGAAATCACTGTCTCAAAGAAAAACAGTGGAAGCCAGCAGGCGACACAGAAAGAAAAAGTTGTTATATCGTATATTCACCAAGAGTTGCACAATTCGAAAAAAATCGCTTTACAGTCAAGTGTAAAGGTAGTGTTTTCCGCGCCCAATACGCTCATGAAATTGTGTAAACCAACAAAGCTTGACGTGCCTGCAATACACGGATGAGAAAAGAAGCGCTGAACAAAAATTGTCGACTGCCACGTATTTCATGGTATATGGCAATTCGCTGTCTTGTGGCGTACAGTACGTCGGGCAGACGGGGCGATGCCTAAATGATGGGCTTCGCGAGCATTGTAACAACGTGCAAAAACACAGCGATGGATTTCTTGACATGCACTGCAGGGCATGCGTTCATGCTCCACTATTTGATGGATGCGTTAGAATTAAAAAGGCGAGGCTACGATAACAGGTGAAATTGTAGTGGCTGAACTCAATAATTACTTAGGCGAAACGTGTATCGCTAAGCCTTCGATAACTCTATCTGAAAAGGAACTTGCTTACCCGGGAGCAAGATAATGCTGTACCTTGAACATGCTCAGTGATGGTTGTTTGTTTTGTTTTGTGACGAAGTTTAACTACAAATACCGCAACACGTTTCAATAACAATCAGTTCGAAGAAGTGCCTCGTTTGCGTCCTCGCCCCCTTCCTCATCGTTTTTGCTGCACAGTCCGCGGACTCCCTCGGAGTCCACGGAGCAATTGAGCCGCCTCAATTGCTCCGCGAAGCAATTGAGTCGTCTGTTAGCAAGGCAAAATCTTTTGTGAAACTTTATTGCCAGATTTTGTTCTCGCTTTATGGCACAGGGGCGATACAAAAAGTCTTCGTGATTAAATATTGAAAATATCAATGCTTACAAAAAAATATCGACTTTTTTATCGGGAATTTCCTAAACTTACGTCGAGCCCCTCTGTGTCTGTTGGTAACAACGGCCCTGGCAACGCTTTGTTTGGAGCGGAGCGCCATGTTGTGACGTCATCACTTATGGGGTCGATTGGGCCGATTTAGACCAAATCGGATTTCCTGTATCGGCTCCCTACGAGAGTTAGAGTTGCGCGTCTGCTTTCCACGTGTCGCAACGCCGCTATTTGCCGAGATCCGATCGCGTGAGGAACCGGATCAAATGCCGTGCAGGAAAGTAGACGTTGCACACGCCTCGGCGTATATTCCCCTGCTTTTGAGCGTGCGCGTGCCTCGAGCGCGCGGCCCCTCTATTCGCGTTTTCAGTCACGTGAGGAGCCGCATCAACAGGCCGTGCAGGAAACACGGCGTTACGGGGATGAACGCGCAACTCTGACTCCCGTAGGGGACCTATAGACCTATTCATTTTAGTAGTCGCTTCACCGGCAAATAGAGGGCGCTGGCGCACTCGGCGCCATTAGTTTGCCTCAATTTGGTTGGTTTTGGTTTCAACGTGAAGGCTGCTATGTTGCTGTTTTACGTTGCATTTGCTTAATTTTGTGCTAAGATATTTTGCTTGTTGTACACAACCAATGAAACAGTGGTATTAAGCCACTTTGACGACAACCAGGTGTAACCCTAAATTGCGGGCTTTTTTTACCAGCTTCTTTCATGCATCTGATTTTGGACAGTTGCGAAAAGCCTGACTAATGTACAGGGCAGATTACCATCGTCTACGGCCGTACCCAAAGACACCAGTCTCCAGAAAAACAAACTAATGAAGAGACGAACACGTGAATGTAAAGAAGCATATCGACAGCTTGATTAGTAGTAAGTGTACTAAATCGGCTAGAACAGATGGGCTCGCGAGTTAACTACTCACTGCTTGCTTTTCGTGGGCACCCAAACTTTAGTGAACTTCGCAGACTAAAAACGTATCGTGTAAGGATGCAGGTAAGTGATATAAACAAGTAGTATCGTATCGGCCTTTGTTTTTTTTTTCTTTAATTGCGGACTTCAGATACTGCAGCAAAAGTTAAAACAACGTACGCAAAACAACAAAAAAAAAGTGTTGTTGTTATGGCGCATGAGCCGAACCCAAACCGCGTTTCGGATTTGCAAATAGAAAAATACGTTATTTCTTTGTGCACGCTACTCTAAAACTCGGTACTGTTAAGTGTCTGTGGCAGTTCCTTACCCGGGAAGACCCAGCCATTGTGTTAAAATAATGGAGGTGGATGACAATGGTTATCTAAATATAATCAATAAATTACTTAAGTGGCTGTCGAAATGGGAGCAAGGAATTTATTGAATACCCTAAACTTTAGAGGTTAACCGACCAATTAAAAGTTTACGTTGCGAAAAAAAAAGAGTGAGAACCTCAAACTCATGTAGGCGTG